TTTTTTTTCATTTAAAAATAATTTACATATATTTTTGTATTAAATTGTAAATATGATTTGAGCAATTTCATATTTATATTGATATTTGTGGATAGTTATTTGAGAATATAGAATGTAGAAAAGTAGATTATATGTTAGATGTACTCTACAAAACATATTTCAGGCAATAATAATTTGAGAAAAAGATATAATAATGGTGGAATTAGAAATGCTTCATAAGTACGAGAATGGAGCACACATCCTCACGGATTAAAAATGAAGGATAAGTTCTTGCAAATTCTGAATATTCTAGAAATTTTACATATTACATATTCAAGCATGACTAAAATTTTAGTTTATCATGATATTTATTGGTTTTATATTGATAAATGTTGTAACAGAAAATATCAAATTGGTATCTACCAAACATACTAGAATTCCAAATAGAATAAATGTATATGTAATAAAAGTAGATACTGCTGGTAGGAGATGGAAAATATGTAAAATATTTTTGGTTCACCGTAAAACAGTTTGTGCTAAATATTTTTACTTAACTAATATAATTATGCATATAAACTAATAAACATACCTTCTAGCAGCAGTTAGGTCAGTTAAATTCTTAGTGAGCCAGACATTTTCAATGAGTAGAGCCCCTATATATAAACACAATACATTATGTATGTATAATTAAAATAATTTTTTATTATGCATGTTTTTAATGCTTCTGAAATTTTAAAAGCAAGTATTTAGATTTTACATTTTAAGGTTTTTATAGCTACACAAAAGTCATTTTAAATGCTCTAAGTAAATTGGAAGTTAGTGGATGAGATTATGTTTAAATAGAAATTTGTATTTCTCTATAGAAGTGAATTAAGTTTTAAGATTTGATTCAATCATATTTATTGAATACTGATCTGTATCTCCTCAATATGGATTGGATTGGATTATTCAGTTATGGCAAAGCACACGAGGACTATCTGCCTAAAGGGAGGGATGCCTTCGTGGAGGACTTTCTAATGGAAACTGGTTCGTATACACGTTACACATGGGCAAAACTACGAAAACGCTCATGCAGCCAGCCTGTTTGCGGGATTTGAACCTCAAACCGAACTACCAGTGTTCGGCGTCTTTACCGCTCGATATGGATTGAAATATATTTTAAGAAAATGAGTATTAGCATTTTGTTTATAGTCAATTTTTAATTATGTAGTGTTAAATTTATAATTTTCAAAGCATTTAATCTTTTGCACAAATTAAAATAATAGACTAATATTTACTAAAATAAAATAGTTTGGTTTCTTTTTGAGTTCATGTAGTTTTCTTTTTAATCACTCATAATTTTCACTGTAGTAAAATTTATATCTGGTCAAGTGTGTATGTAAATGCCATGTGTATATTTGCAGTTATATAACTACATTATGTAGTAATAGGATTAGTGGGCTTCTATAAATCTGTAAGTAATTTTGTGAAGCAATACTTTAATTAATCTATATAAATTCTCATGATTAGAAGTTTTGATTCCTTTTTTTTGGGGGGGGGAAGTTTTATTGGATAAAAAGCTCAATCTACCAATCTACTTATTTGTCAAAGAGTAGAGAAGGGAGAGAATACCTAAACAGCAGTTTAATTTTTTTCAGAAAGCAAGTGGTCGAAGAACACTTTGATTGTGGCATATGCCAAATATATTTTGAAGTGGATTTCCTTCCTCGAACTTCTATTAAATCAAAAGCAGGATTTACAGACTACATAATTTTCAATTCATACTGAAAATAATTAAAGCCTTAATATTCAGTGGATTTCAGATTAATCACCCCCAGAATTATCTGTGGTTACTCACTCAGTGCGATTTTCAGATTTGTGAAGCAAAATGTTCATGAAGTGAATCATTCAGCAAATTTAATGCATTTTTTTTTTTAAGCCTAGTAGCAAATAGAGAGAAATTACGAAGTCTCTAGTTGCTACTAGGTGTAAACACAGCCACCAGTGTCTACCTAATTGAGACTGTTGAATATTGGTAGTTTTGTCTTGGTCACATTAATAGTTTGTTCCTGAAAACCCTACATAAAAGTCATCCCTCTGTAGATGAATACATCTGATATGTTTCAATATGTGTTTGAGTAATCATTGTGCAGAAAATGCAATAGTAATATCTAATGGGAGGTTTAAAAAATTAACTTTTGTCAACAACTAAAGAAAGTAATATGTTTTTTGTTCTATCAAATAGTCTGCCAGTTGCAACTTAGCTCATTCAGGAAAGTAATATAGTTCTTTAAGAAAATTCATCTTTTGAAATCATTTGGATCATTCCTTTTGTATGAAGGCAGCTTAATTTTGGCAGGATATGAATATTATTTAATATTGCTCAAACTTTGCTACATCGCTCAAATTTCGCTCAGGGTAAAAGATAAAATTTTTATCTTCTGTTAAAAACCTTTCTGTAAAATGAATAAATTGCTGATGCATGATGCTTGTAAAAAGATTCAACTTTCAAGTGTTTTCAAAACACTGAAGCGGATGTAAAGTTACTTGACACTCTTTTTATTGTCAGGTTTGAATATTTTAACTGAAACATACATTGCATCTTCTAATTGGATATTGTTTATTTCATTCACTAGTATATGCTTTAGAAAATATTCATATTTTTTGGGCTCACAGCTGATTTGATGCATAACTATGTGAGGGACATCTGTGAATAATATAAATAGGCAGTGACACTTACTTATCATTGTATTACTGACTTTAGGGTAAAAACAGAAATTTTATGCTACTATAGTAGTTTATCCTGATTAATATAATATATGCAGTGAGTACTATGATAGATGCAGGCCTAAACTGAAATTACTCAGCTAGACCAGGGCTAAATTTCTAAAATTAGAAGTGCTAGAGCCCTGTGGAATGCCCTCAGGAAAGAGGAGCAAAAATAAATGGTAGAATCATAAAATAATTACTTACTTATTGATTAAAATAATTAAAACTCAATAAAATGTAAAGAGATAAATAATTATTGGGTGAGAAGCACACCAGTGTAAAACTCAAAATTACACAAAACAGAAATCTTATTTTTGCATAGATTTTAAACAAAACTATCAATTTCGAGAACTATCAGACACAAGTTTTTCTTTAGCAAAGGGAATTCTACTGCTTAAGTCAAAATAACATGTTGTGCCTAATTTTAAGATAAAAATTTAACAAATTATTAAATTAATGATAGAGATAAATAATAAAATACTGGACCTTGTCTTATTTGGGGCTCTGGCTGAAATTATAATTTCACTAAAATACCTAAGAAATAGGAGAGAATTTTTGCTTCAACATAACTCTTTTAATTACAGAAAGAATGAAACATTTATTTTTAGTGGAAAAAGTCAGTAAATAGCTCAGCTGAATTCGAATTCAATCTGTTGGTTCATAGAAATTTTTAAGCATTTCGGTAAATGGGCCAGGCGATCGATCTACTTAAACCTAGCCCAGATCTTGAAAAATCATGAACAATAGAAAATCGGAAATATAATAAAATGCAAAAAAATGATAAATTAAGCTTTTCTGTCAGACTCGGACTTCTCAAAATATAAAAATATAGTAATCTCCTTAAGCAGGAAAACATATTCTAGCAGATTTAGTTCACGCTAACAAATGGAAGGAAAAAATGCATCCCTCTAAAGTTTACAATATCAAATCACTTCTATCAAGGTGAATAAATATTCTGTTTGTAAAGAAATCAATCGAAAGTTATGATACTAAAGTTATATCAAATCATAAATTGAGTTTGTTAAAATAATAACAAAAACTCCAAATGAATCGCGCCATATGTTATTCAGTAAGCTAAAAGGTAAAGAGTAACCGTCATTGCTTTTACTGACATGTGATTTCCATACTTAATTTCATTTACTATCGCCAAATGTCTCTGGCATCAGGGCATTCTATCATGTGCAGTATTCACGCCTACCGGTCCAAACGCTACAGACGTATATCTGACGCGCCAGAGATATGTTTTTTTCCTCTGTAGATAGACTGGCGCAAGCACCACGGACATGCTGAGATTATTATTCGGAGATATGTTTTCTCGTGCAGACGGGGCTTACGTTTTAGTCGTTCAGAAAATTTTCCACTACTTTTGCACAACTTCATCCGCTGAAAACTGTTCAGAGCAGAATGTGTTCTCCAAAATATTATTACCATTCCAGAATTTTCCAGACTTCTTTTTCACTGTTTTGAGAATCAGGAAAACAGTTTAAATACACAGCGCGAATGCTTTCTGTTGCAGTTCAAACATTCATTTCTTTCTGAAACTTATAATACAGTAGATGGTGCAAATGAAAGTTTTTGTTTTTGATTTTGAAAAAAATTCTATTACGCAAATTTGACATCATCCAACTAAAAGGAATCACCGTCACCTATTAATCGGTCTGCCAATGGCCATGAAATAATCATTGATGTTGCTGTATGGCTACGTTCCCCCCTCCCTGTGAGAAAGGCCATGAAATGTTGCAACCATCTAGTGGGTGCCGGGCCAGCTTTTTTTTAACGGTATTTTTGATTTACTAGTATTATTTTATTTTCATAGAAAACATATTCATGAAAAATATTTTTAATGCGTAAAATCTTTTGTACTAACAGTTCGTATACAATATATATATATACACACACACCGCCCTTTAAAAATTAAAGAACTGCATGTTTTTCAAAGTTCACCATTAGAAAAATGTCAATAACGTTTAAATTCCCAGTTTATATGCTTGATAGTAACGTAGTTTAAGAAAATATATGCAAAAACAATAGCTACCACTTTTATTTTATAGAAATGAATACTTATATGAGTTCGAGAAACACTGCAAAAATTGTAATTTTTGTTCCCGAGTGTTGATCTTCAGTTGTTATTACAGTTTTGTGCATAATATCCAGAAGAGTCTGTCAATATCCAGGAGAAGTCATTTGCCCGATTTATTGATGTGACGGGCGATCGGATGGATGGAAATGGAGATGTCACAAGCTGGTGCTGCTAGACGTCTCAATATCTCTCGTAGCGTGGTCCACCGACTATGGAATCAGTTTGAATCCGAGGATTCTATGTCTAGAAGACATATTCCATGAAGACTAGAGTGACAACAACTGCGGAAGACCGTTATTTAGCTCTTTCGGCCCGAAGGAGGAGTAACATTACTGTGCCTCAGCTCATGTGAGATCAATTAGTGGCAACAGGAACAAGAAATCTCAGCTACTACAGTTCGCAGACGCTGCACAATACAGGTCTGTATGCAAGATGACGAGTTATTTGTGTCCTCTTGACCCGAGGCACAGATGTGCCCGTTTATGTTGGGGGCAAGAGAACACGTCTCCTGGACCAGTCAACAATGGGCATCTGTCTCTTTCACAGACAGACCAGGTTCACACTAGAGGGTGATTCAGGTTGTCAACTAACCTCGAGGCAACAACGCACCAGATACAATCTATCCCACATTGTGGAAAGACACAGTTACAGAGGTGGTAGAATAATGGTTTGGGCTGGGCTGGATCTCTCTCGGTGATCATTCTGGCCTGCATGGTGTTCCGTGGAGGAAATTTGACCGGTGTTGAGATATCGAGACGAGATGCTTGATCAATATGCCCACCCACCCATATGCCGCCGCTGCTATTGGTCCTGGATTTTCTGATGACCGACCGCCGCTGATCGCTGCTATTGGTCCTGGATTTCTTCTGATAGACGACCGCACCGATCTCGGGTTGCTGAAGAATATCTTGAGGGCCACGGTATGGAGCGGATGAAATGGCCAGGTACATCCCCAGAGCTGAATCCGATACAGCATCTTTGGGATTACCTTGGGAGGCAGGTTGCTGCTTTAAGTCCTCCTCCAAGGTCACTAGATGAGCTTGAACAAGGATTACTCCGTGTCTGGTCGGTGCTTCCCATTTCACTGACCGACAACTTAATTGACAGCATGGAAGGTCGCTGCCGCCAATGTATTGCAGCTAAGGGTGGACTATTCCTTATTAGAACCCATTTTTGTAATGTTACCACCCTATTTTTCCTCAAAAAACTGTGATATACTCTTTCTCCAAGACTGGATTTCTCTGAGAAGAGTGCAATTTTTTGTTGTAATTCATGTTTGCGTTGAACTTTGAAACATTCTATGTCGCATTCATTATAGAACTGTTTAGTGAACATGTCCTGTAAATTTCCTGTTTCTGTGTTGCTTCATTCTCAAATTAGACGCAAAAAATATGTTGTTCCTTAACTTTTGGAGGGCAGTGTATATATAAAAAAAGAAAAGCAAAAAAGAAGTGTTTTGTTCTAATTTTATTGTGCTTTCCTACACATTTATTTACGAATTGCTACGCGATATTTATCATAAAAATGGTAAAAATATAAAATATTGCTATTGGAAATCTATTGAATAAAAAGAAAGAGTAAGGTAATAGGAAGACATGCGACCCAAAGAGATTTGAGAAGTGCTTCTCCTACTGTATCGCCCGCGAGATTATGTGCATATAAATGGGATGCACGCGAGTCGCCAATTTATATGCTTTGCAGCAAAGTACGGATCCTCGGGTTTTACTGTCTGATTGAGATTTGATAAGTCGTTTCTTTAAGTTTTCATACGGCTTATCATCAGGGGAGATTAACAATAATATCATCTTCGGCCGTAAATATATCGGCATAAACTGCTGCCGCATAATTAAATTTAGTGATTTCACAAGTAATTTTAGACAAAGAAATTGCGCTTCTAATCTAAGAAACGATAATGCTGGACTGGTTTCCAGAAAGGCAGTGGTTTAACCCGTATGTATGCAGAGCCGTAGCTAAGGTTTTCAACGCCTGGGGACAAATGGAGATTTTGTGCCCCTTGCTGTGTGTCAAGAATGGAAAACATTTCATTCTAAAATTTGTAACATCAATTTGGCGCCCTCCGGATGCTACGCCCGGGGACAAATGTTCCCCCTTGCCCCACCCTAGCTACGCCCACTGTACGTGCACGATCTGATTTTCACTGCTGCTTTCTTTAGTGAGCGGCATGATGAAATGTATATACTAGAGAAATACAGATAATACAGCAAAAGTGAATACGCGAAACAAAACGCAGTATAATTATTAAAAAACAATACACAGTGTTGCCCTATACATGCGTATTCAATTAGCGAAACCAGAGCATCCGTGACAGAAAAATTGCAACTCGTGAGTTGTAATTTATCGGGTTTGAAATAGTTGATTAAAAATACACTTAGTGCAAATGCAGAAAGGGTAATGAAAGTAAAAAAAAAAAAAAAAAAAAAAAAACTAAAACCTTACTGACAGTAACAAGTGAGAAAAATACGCTTATACAGTCCAGCATATAATCATATTATGCCTTTATAGAATCTTTGCAGATTTCCCGCGAACGTGCGTTTGAAACACTGTGTCACACACACGCTGCGCACACACATATGGAGAGCAGCCAGAAAAATCACAAAAATATTTGAAATATCTGTGGCTTTTATCAACTTAGTATCACTGTTATTGATTTTTTAAGCTTGTAATTAATAAATTGACGACATATCCTCTGAATGCACGTGAGTGAACATCATGGACGACGTGTGGTGGCATTTCACTTATGAGTCACTACTGTGCACTATCGAGTACATCACAATAGTGTATTAGATCAATGCACACGTCGTTACAATGGAAAAGAACTAATTCGCTTAACTAATTAAATGTTCACAACATAACATTTATACTTAGCAAAATGCAATAACATTTATACTTAGCAAAAATGCAATACACTACTGAGATACAAAAACGGTTGCAGTTACATACAGTTCATACATACAGTTTCTTTACAGTTAAAGTTGCAGTTTTAGCTATATGAAATAATGCAGTTAAACAAACAGTTAAAAAGTGAATAACCGTTCAAAAGTCCAGTTAGGGTTAAACCGCCTCAAAAGGATAGGCCACAAGTATTTTGTGCCCGTCACATTTAAAGATATGCGACTCAAAGAGATCTGAGGTGTGCTTCTCCTACAGTATCGCCAGCGAGATTACGCTTACGCGCATATAAATGGGATGACGCGAGTTGCCAAGTTAATACGCTTTGCAGCTCTAAAAGCAATTAATTATGAATTTTGTAAATTATAGTAACCTGGTAGAAAGAGTTTTCATCTTTTCAATAATTTACTGATACAGAACAGCTGATACTTACCTATATATGTTCTAGCAATGCTGAATGAGATATCTTTAGCCGCTACATTAAGCAGGTGTGAAAACTTTTCTACAAAACCAGTTATATGCTTTATACTCGTTTCAACCTTTAAACAGGCATCCTTCAGATCAGGATTTTGCTTTGCATTTTCTATGCTTGAAATTATACTTCTGTGAAGAGCTGAGAGAACTTCATACCTTGTTTTTGAGAAGCTTCTGACAACATCCATTGACAATACACTTGTAGTACCTTCCCATATTGGTAACACCTAATAAATTACATTTCTATTATAAAAGTAACATTAATAAAAATACATTTATTATAAAAGTACCCAGCCAAATACGTAAAAAGAAGAGAAACATATTCTAATGCATTTTATATTATCTGGTAAATTAGCCTCTTTGGCATGCAATCATTTGGATATGGTTAATTATCTTATTCATAGTTAGGTTAGAAATGCAAAAGTAGTCATACGAAAACGAGCTGAAGTCGCGAAATCATATCATTGTCGCAAGAAAAAACAGTCTATTAACAAATGATAAGGAACGTTTATTGTATTTCGTCTCTTTGTGGTCACAGAATTTTTCGCTAGATTTTCTCACACTGCTAAATGGCTCGTTCCCTTATTATTCTGAAGCTTGATTTTTGATTGGCCTGCATATCTCTTGGCGAAAATTACGCTATATTTACAATACACTCCATCCTTAATTTTAGACCAAGCCCGCTAAGAGTATTCAACTAAAAATGTATATTTAAATTTTCTGTTTACACTTTCATTGCCAAATGAAGAACTTGAAAGCACGTACTTGGCTATTGAAGCTCAAATATTTTCAAGATAACGAAGCTTTTTTCCTCCGGTTAATTTCCGATGTACAAAATCTGATACATCATAATTTTTCATCTTGGAGAAAGATCTTAATTTCGGATAAAGTGTTTTGAATTAGAAGCAAAAATGCTTTTGGAAGTAGATCTTTGCGGATGAGTTGCATTTTTAGTTTGCTGCTGAGATTTTGCATTCTCGAATTGTCGCCAATCATCGCTTAGCGACTTATTTGCTTGCAATTCATTTTTCATTTCAGCTTAGTGACAATTTAATAAATAATTTAAGAAGTAATGTTGCCTCTTCTCAATCATTTTAAAATTAGGGTTCCACACAGCTTTCCTGATTATGACACACTGTATGGGTTACTCAGTTATAAAATTAATAGTGATTAACCCCCCATTTGTCAAGCCTAGAGGTTTTGGTATTCGAATGACTCCAGAGGCTCTGTTTTGAAGCATGCTATGCCTTTTGAAGATTCAGAACTCATGCAGTCAGCGAAGAAAATAGGTCAATACCGTATTTATTGAAGGAAATTCTGAGCAAGTATAGTATTTATTTTCTATGGCAGAAATATTATCAAATATGATTCAAACTATAGTCTATGCTTGCTTCAAATCAATATATTCTGTAACCGAGATGTTCAAGTGAAAAATATGAGTATTAATGCATTTCTGAACCTCTGTTCCTAATAATTAAATATTATATAACTTTGCAGTTGACCATTTCATTCTGTTTCCCTTTATTGCAGAGGTAGATTTAATAACATCTTTAATTTTCAGTTAGAAGGAGCTGTAATCAGTTTAACTCGATTGGTCATTTCCACTTTACCAGAAATAAAGCGAACAGTATCGGTCTGGATGTCTCATTATCAAAAAAAAGGGGGCATTAGTTGACTATATAAAAAGTTAAAAAGCTAGATTTAATTTTATAGAAATGTCCTACCTAGTCTTGAATCTGCTTTCACATCGGAAGTACATATTTAGGGTAAATATTCAAGAAAATAAAACTTTAGCCTCTTTTCAATACGTTACATTATTCCTTTTCAGTAGATTTCACTTTTTTCTACAAAACAGGTATATTCTAGAATATTGGCTGAAATGAATGCATACGTCTAATACTGACAATTTATCTATGATAGTTCTTCATTTAAATTTTTGAATAAAATTAGGAGCTTACCTGGCAATCTCGAAATATTACTGGTAGGCGACTATCTTCCATGTACCCTTGTCCTCCAAATACTTCTAAGCCTTCAGAAACCACAGAAACTGCCTACGAATGAGTACAAGAAGTTTATTAAAAAGTAACTCATACAATATGGTGCAAAATTTTAATTCACGGAATTTATCAAACAGTTTTTAGGACTTACAGATAAAGCAATAATGATAAAAGACGTAACAAATAAAAAATAATGATAAAAACGTAGTTTCAAGCTCACAGATATCGACACATGAAATCTTATAAAAATATCTGTACGCTTTAGAAAAAATAAGACCAGAAGAAATTATTGTGAGAGACCAAATTTAATGAAAAATATTTAATAATTTAATGTTTTTCTTCTGTAATTCGTACCACCTAAGGAATTATCAAACTTAATTCTAGAAGAGATATTTTGTATTTGAGAACAGTAATATACCAAGCATACATACTGTTGCATATTAATTTTTCTACATAAATTCTATTAGACATGAAAAAAAAATAAATTAGTTATACTGTAATTAATTATACTTAATTATATACATATTTGAATTTAATAAACTTTCTCGTAAAAAGCAAATTAAAAGTTAATGAAATTTTATTGCAAACAAATAAATGATTAATTATTGCTGCGAACTAATCTACAATATCATTTAAATTTTGAGAGCATATGTAAATCAAGGGCAATGATCAAAATCCATGAATAAATATATAATTCCAAAAAAATTTTTAATCCTAAAATATTTTATAAAAATGCATAAGTTAATAATTGTTGAGAAGGCAGAAGACAGACTTATCAAGGGGAAGTTACCTCGAAACCTAACTCTTCAATTATTCAATTCGTGTTTCGTCATCCATGTAGGCAAGGCTAAAAGTTAAATTCAAAACCAAAAGTAAAACCAAATGCTGTGAATTACTAAAAAGAAATTTAAACAAGTGGAATTTTGAGAAATTAGCAAGTAAATGACTAGAATTAAAATAAAAAAGGTCAATTAAGAGTAGAAAACCAAATTTAGAAAACTGCCTACAGAAAAACTTCCCCGACCAATAATGTGTGTGTGTGTGTGTGATTATGGCAAGCCTCGAGGGCTATCTGCCTAAGGGAGGGATGCTTCGTGGAGGATTTCTAAGGAAACTGGCTCGTACACGTTACATGGAGAACCACGAAAACGTCATGCAGCCAGCCCGTTCGCGGGATTCGAACCTCGGACCGAACTATCAGTGTCCAGGGACTTTACCGCTCGGCCGCTGGTGGGCCCGAATTATGCATATATATATATATATATTGAAGGATCTAAAATTCACTTAGTTCAACTAGATACTATCTATAAAAATACATGTAATTAGAGAACAAAACCACCATTGATTCAAATGCAAATATTTACCTGCTTGGCAGTGTACATTTTCAGTACTGGAGACATTAAGCGCAGTAACAATAACTCATCTACAGTAGCAACACCCAATTCGGATTTTCCAAGCAGGATAGCAACCTAATAATTTAAGTCAAATGGGAATTAATTTTCATTTCACAAATTCACTTGTGGTAAATAAAAAAACGAAATCCAGCTACTGCACACTGAAGTCCTGTAGTTATTAAGAAATTCTGAATTTTATGCTAGATATGCTGTTTCAGATTTAATGAAGTGACTGCAGAAATCACTTTTTACTCAGTTGTTTGAGTAGCTTCTTTTCAATTTAATAGCAGACAGAAGTACAGGGGGACCAAAATATCGCAATGGGCAAAACTGGTGTCACCCCACTTTACTAACCATCTATGGAAGTGCTTCCTGACGGGGCACGCTAACGTTGTTTACATTGCAGCATTCTTAATAGTTATATATTAATGGTGCATAATTTGCATTACAGACAATATTGACTAAGATATACCTTACAGTTGGATGGATCAATACAATAATTACAATGGATAAATACAGTAAGTTATTTACAGATGTATATGTTACCGTGAAAGACCGAAATAAAAAAGTCGACTTCACCGGAAATGTAAAAGCACCAAACGTCGGTGCAAAGATCGAATTTCTTTACATTCTGTACATTCGGACCCTCACCAGGTATGTCGACAATAACAATATGCTCTGGGTAGGTCGAAGAGATGAGTATATGTACACCCCTTCCAAAAGGAAGTGTTCCACAAAAAAGCAGTTGTAAAAGCGGGCCTCTTGCATCAAGTGTCATAATAGTGAAGTTGTTTGCAAAAAAAGATGAAGAATTGGTAAGTTTAACTTCTATTATGTTTCCTTTCTATTTGAATGCACTGTGTTGTTTTAAGTTCTTATATCTTAATTTTTTTTGTTTTTTCAAGTGGTTTTTTTGCGAATGAATTCAAAAGGAAATATTCTAATATGTTCAAATTCCCATTCGTACTGGGAAGTTGACATTCACCGATGTCGAAAAAATTGGACATACCGTACTATGGTCACATCTTTGGGAGTGTCGGGTTTGGAATTTTGGGTGGGGAGGGGATTATGGTACGTGGTTCGTGTTGTTTGGTTTTGTTTTTGTAAGTACACGTTCATAGTGATATAGTTATGTTCATTCATGGTACATAGTGTTGAGTACGTAGTACTGGTGTATCTATCACACATTGCACAGTATGAAGTAAGAAAGCGGAAACAACTACAATCATCCATGCCTTTTCAGAAATTTAAAACCCTTTAAAATATTGGGATATAGCAAAGCACACGAGGGCTACCTTCTTAAAGAGTGGAATGCCTTCGTGGAGGGTTTTTTAAGGGTAGAGCGACCAATGCCTAAGTAGAGATACCAGGTTTTCATCAGTGAACTTACCCTCTTGGCTACAGGCTGGCATCAAATAAACGAAACAGTCTATCATTTCTCTTAATAATGGGATATATGTGTGTATGTGTTTGGTTATTTATTATGCAAATAATTAAAAATCTAATCATAATAAATTACAATGGTATTTAAGTGCTAGGATGCTCAAAGTTTGAAGTGAACAGCATATTGCTAATATTCTTTCCCCCTTATCTTTTTTGGACATCGAGAAGCAAAACTACGAAAGCAACAGGAATACATTATTTTAGTTTTATAGAGTTTTACAGTATATAAACACCAGAACGTTTGGACGAAACTCAAAATTTCTAAAAACTGTTGCGAAAACAATATAGCGAAGCATCACCGGCGTTTTTTTACGACTACAGTGTGCAGTTCTTGCATACGAAATGTATGTATACAGGAATCACAGGGAAAACAAATTTTACTCTACGGTCAAAAAATTAAAAGGCAAAGATCTGATAGCTGTAAACCAGATCCTCTTCTGAAATAATAAATAATACAACCATGTACCTTTAGCAATAACAGTAATGAACCTCTGATTTCTACTTCCATTCTAGACAAAACCTGCATATGCAATGGAAAATTTGCTATAGTTTGACCAAAAGCAACTCTCCGTTGGCTGTAATCTCGAGCCAGCATTAAAATCCTAACAAAAGTACGCAATAATTTAGCAACAAGGTATATGAGCACAAAAAAAAAAAAAAAAAAAAAAAAAAAAAAAAATCAATAAAAAATTAACAAACGAAATATATAAAATCATGCATATATTTTATTAGATGTTTTAACTAATGAATGCATTCTTATTGACAAATCTTAAGTCTATTGATATTTTCCGCTTCCCGGTAACAGAGGATAGAATATTAATATATAAAAAAACTACCAACAGCTCAAATCAGAATTAAATAAAACTAACTAGAAATGTATTATATGTTGAAATAAAACAAGCAACCCGAGTTAGAAAAAGTAAATCTATTAATTTTTTTTATATTTACAACAGTTTTATAAATGTATTACATACCCTATAACAGTGGAAATGCGTTCCGTGTTCCAGGAGTCATCGTTGTTTTTACCAAGCATATCGACTCCTTTCATTGCAGGACTTCAGAGATAAGCTGTTTAACATGATTCTGTTAAGGCAGCTAACTACATATGCATCTGACCATAAAAGTAAAGTAAGATCCCATCCTTTAGAAGCCTCAGATCCCAAAGCAAATTTCGGAGACAGCAGATTATAGAAGCAAAAGATATTACAAAGATACAGCTGATATTTTCTTAAACACACAGTGAATATATCAGTGTTATTAGCAGGAACCGATTAAGATAATCTCGGGTCCTAGCACACGCTCCTTTCGGGGAGTCCCCAAAGGTAATTTTTCTTGCTTTTATGTAGGATTATGAAGAATTATACATTGATTCTGGGCACCCTTTCATCTGCGGCTCTAGGGTTTGTAGACTCAGGTGGTAACTAGGACCTGGTTATTATCTGGTGGTAATTAGGACCTCATGTGCTTAGGAATACCATCGTAGAAATCTCAAGCTTTGAAAGAAAATCTTCGAGTCTTTATTTAATTTTTATTTTTTATAAAACCTTTCTTCTTCCACAGCATTTAGCAACTTACAACTACATGACATAAATTAAACTTTCAATGCAAAATAGGCAAACAAAGAAATTTTCACTTATCTTTTCTTTTTCTGTATTCCTCCATCCTGATGAGGCAAAACCGCTCGAAACTAGGATACTTCAAAACTTCCAGCTTTTTCCTTCGATTTCGATGGTCCCCACCGTCTGTACCAATCCTCTTCCTCTTTTGCCGCTTGTTGATGACCCTGGGGATCTTCCTTGACGGCTGTGGGTTCTGGAATTGAACTTTCCTCTTGACTTCTTCAGGAGCCATTCGTTGTTTAGGATCTTTCCACCTTCGTTTTGACCTTCTTGTTTGCTGGGCTGGTACGACTCCTGTGTCGGCTGATCGTTTATCCTTTGTAATTCTTCATTCTGAACCTCCTTAGGCCTCCCTTGTGTTCGTTGCCGCCGAGAAACGTAGACTCTGTTTCGTTGACTTGGAGCCTCGTTGTAGTGCTCGTTTCATTGGCACATCCTCAGCTGGCCTTTTCCTCTTTACCGCCGGTATCGGTCTTGTTCGTGAATTCACTGTTTTGGCAGGTTCCTTTATAGGTCTTGTTTGCCTCTTTTTCGATGAACCTTGACCTTCTGCTGGTTGGATCTGCTAAGCCGGTGATTCGTCGGGTTTCTCAGTCTGCTTCCTTTTTTATGTTGGGGGATTCCAGCTCAGCATCTGACTTAGTGGGATTTTTTGTTCACTTCCAGGACCCTGCAATAAATCTTGTAAAACTTGAAAATCAGTACGATTATAATAAGGTTTCAGCTGGTCAATATTTGCAATTACTTGCTGGCCATTCTCCGCCTTTAAATAAAAAGTAGCTTCTTTTATTCTTTCCACTATATACGGCCCTTCAAACCTGGGCTCGAATTTGGCTACCCTGTTTTCGGGCGCGGATGATAAGGCATGATTTAATTTTAGAACTTTCTGACCCACCATATATTCCATTTCAATTCTATTTCTGCTGATTTTTGTATCCGAAAACTTTAGCTTTACCGATCTTTCTGCTATCGGGCTTTTCACCTTTCCCAGTCTGTCGATAAGCGCTCTGCTGACCTTCAGGTTTTTTTCTGCGGAGGAAAACTTTAAAGTTGGCGAAACTGATCTGCACGTTCTCCGCATTTCTTCTGCTCTAGAACTTTACCGCTAGCTGGAACAAGTTTTCTAATGTTTGCGAGAAAAGTTTTGAGTTGACGGGAGTAGGCGCGGTAAAATGACCTCAATAAGCTCGCTATCGGGCCTCTTCCCGTTTAGTAGCTGAAAATTTTTAATTTTTCTTAAAATAAACTCCGTTAAATCATCAAAACTAGCTTGATACTTGCTAAACAGTTCCGCTTCTAGCTTCGAACGATCTTTCACAACTGGATATGCTTTTAACAATGCTGCCTTGAAATTTTCCCAGTTGTAAGTCTCCGAACCTGGATCCCCCAACAAGAATTAGCCAATTCATTTGTACCAGCTGAGAGCTTGACCTTTTAGGTACGTCGTAGATATCGTGATTTCTGTGTGGTTATGGTACGGTGAATCAGTCAGCAGCTCAGAAAATCATCACAGAGTCTTTCCGTCGAATGTTGGCCACAGCGGCCGAGCGGTAAGACGCTGAACACTGGTAATGGCTGAGGTTCGAATCCCGAACGGCTGCTGCATGGGCGTTTTCGTGGTTTTCCCCATCTGTAACGTGGATCCCCAGTTTCCCCCAAAAAGTTCGCAAGAGTTCCCTCCCTTTAGGCAGATAGCCCTCGTGTGCTTTGCCATAATTAAATAATCCAATCCAATCCAATCCGTCGAATGTTGCCGCTGGCTTCATTGCGTCTCTCATAGTTTCGACTATAAATCCGAATCCTTCCCTCGGATTTGTTGGCGTCTGAGGGACCTAAAAGGTCGGAGGGCTCAGTGAAAACTTTTCGTTTTCGAACGGCATAGTTCGCCACAATTATTCGGGCGCCAATGTAAGATTCCAACCTTTAAGTTACAGGTAAAAATGACGAACGTTAAGAATTGTTAAGCGAATAATCGCTTAGTTCAAAAACCTAGAAACGTCAACGTACGAAGGGTTAATTACCTTTTATTATTCAAAATAAATTTAACAGTTGACTCCATCTCGGAGTTTACAGCCTCCACTTGGGCTTGAACTTAGGAACAGTAAGAAATAAACCTTAACTAAAGAAGATATAGCCGAAGCTATCAAGATTCTATGAGAGTTGGCCCCTTAAAGCTAACTAACGGCGAAGCTTTCAAGGACCTAAAGTACGGCCGATCGTAAAAATAGCTTAGAGAGAGAGTAGCTTAAAAGGCGAACGCGCGCTGCTCAGAATCTCTGGCTCTCTAACGAAGTCAGTCGAACTTCAACTTTAAATACTTGTTCTTCCTTCATTTGCATTTAACGCGAATCTAAAAACACGTTCTGGCCGGAAATTGTAAGCTGAAATTAAGAAACGACAGGAAAGGAGCTTAAACTAAACATTAACTGTTAAAAACTTAGGATAAACCTTATAATGTAAAACTCAAGAAATATGTTTTAAGGAAGATATGTGTGCAAGTGGTGAACAGAAACAAGTATCCTAGACCACAAAAATCTTCAGAGCAGGCATGCTGCAAAAACCTCCCGATAAGTTTTCAGTATTTTTACTATTTTGCTGCCTTTATTGTATGATTATCCTTAATACTGTATAATTATCCTTAATTATTCTGTATAATTATTCTTAATACCAAAATGCATTTGTCATACAGGCTTGTATAACGTACATATTGTTGTCCTTCTAATCACTGCCATTAATTTTCCATTAAGTGTTCTGGACATGGGCATGGATAGAAAATTCTCAGAAGGAGAACTAGATTAAAGATAAATTATTACATAAATAAATTTGCGTGTGTTTTTTTTTAATCTAAGGAGAAGTAACAAACAAACTATAGAATACATTATTACATCAATACAAAAACACATTTATTGTACGCAGTGGTGACTTTTAGGGGCTCGTAGAAACTCTTGCTTATTGCAAAAATGAATAACTGTCTCTATTATAAGCAACTTTTTGAAGAGCTTCATGTCCTAAAATGAAATTTTTGACGTATCGAATTAGAAAAAAGCAAGAGGAATGAAATGCTTAGAAAACTTTCGGAAGGATGAAAAAAAAAATCACTTACGAATCTCCCCATTTTGGTGTGTGTGTTTGTGTGTTGGTTGGGGTGATGAGCAAGTCTTACGTATTATTTATGTTTCATCAATGTGAAAAACCTTATTATTCTGTAACTTTCAGAAAACAGGGAAAATCCGTCAGAGGAGTGAATCAAGTGTTACTAACATTTTTGAAAACTTCAGGGAAGTTCTTCTGAAGGCAAGGTACTTTCAATTTTTAAAAATGCAAGGTTAAAATATTTCTGCAATTCTAATTTGTAAATATAACTTTTGCATACATAATTTTATTAAAAATTATACTGAACACGCCTTTCCCTGAATTCTTCTATAATTTATGACCCCTTATTCGTTTTTGTCTGGAGCTAGAAAATCAATGAATGGCTCGCGGGATTTCGCAGTGCCCTTTGTTAAATTTGTCTCAACTCCTTTTTCCCCACCCAACTAGAATGTACTGTCATTGAATGTAACGCGCTTGTGTAATTAATGGTTTATGTTAGTACGGATTTTCTGAAAACTATTTAAAAAGTTGCTTACAAGGGTACCTCGAATTTAATTCGCTCTCGTTCACGGTTAGTATCTCGAAACCCAGTTTTACATTTTTTCATTAGGGAAATCACTCAGTTCCTAGATTTATAAGATTTTTGGGAAAAAATGAAAACAACTTAGAAATTATTAATTTTATGTATAAAATCATTGGTTTTACATGGCGTTATGAAAATATTATTAAAATAAAAATAATTAGCATACTACTGACTGGCTTTATATTTTGGATTTGCTGCTATATGTTGCTTCTTTTAGTATGTTTGCAGAAGGAGATTAAAAAGAAATTAACCAGCGATAATTCAACCACTCATCTTTTAATACTTTTCTAAACTGATTAAGGATTTTGCCGCTGATAATACTGGTAGCCCTCGAAAT